GGAGAGGGACATCATGCTTGGGAGGGTGGAGGGACAGCGCAGGAGAAGGCCCTCTATGAGGTGGGTTGATTCAGTGACTGGGATAATTAGGATGGGAGTGTCAGAGACGGTGCGATTGGCACAGGACAGAGAGGAGTTCAGGGCTGTTGTACATAGGGTCGCTATGAGTCGCAAGCGACTCGACGGCACATAACAACAACAACAACATGAGTTGGTTAAGTTTGGGTTTTTTTTAATTTAAAGAGGAAATAATTATCCCATGAGGTTGTTAACACTGCACTGTACAACAGTCATTAGTTACATGTGATAATATTTAAATTAATTATAAAAAGTAATAGTAACAATAATGCTTCAGTTTTAGCAGCTACCAAACCAAATCAGTTGCTATCTAGTTAATCTGGACATAGTGACATGTTACAGATTAGAACCGTGCTCCACTGGGTTTCCAAAGCTGTGATCTTTTAGAAGCTGATTGCTGCATTTCTTAAAAAGTCCCACTGTGTTAAGTTCAGTTCCAAATATTAGTTGTCCTCCATCAGTTTCCAAGGCTGTAAGTCTTTACAAGAGGAGACTGTCCACCTTCCTCCCACTGAGTGGCTTCTAGTTTCAAAATGCCAACCTTTCAGCTAGCAGCTCCGTAAGCTATGCACCAAGCTACCTAGGAACCACTGCAGGTAAGTAAGGATAGAACATTACATCACCGAAAACTAGAAAGTACCCCTTTAGAGGGTAGAACCAGGCCTAATAGTGCTTACTAGACAAGGGCAGGACTTCAAAACAATCTAAACTGTCCTTGAAAAGATAGGTTATTATTTGTGAAGCTGTATTTTTACTTCCTCTGCCGGTTCTTTAATGTGAAATGCGATTTTTTTTTTTAAATACGAATTTTTCTACAGGTTTCACAAGCATTTCTTTTGGCACTGTTCAACAAAGTCATTTCTAAAATTCTCATTATTCTTTCTCTTCTAATGAATATCCAGTAACATTTCAAGGAGTCCTAAATGACTCAAGAAACATGTACTCACCCACTAAATGCAAAGTTTTCATTTTGGCTCCTATAGGAATTTTCAGTTTATTTTCAAGAGGAATTGGAAATTTTCTGTTAGGATTACAAAATTTCCCCAAAATATGAACATGTGGCATATATGTCCAAATAGATTCTACTAACTCCAAATGGGAAGTCTCCACACCCACTAAATTTGGGCTAGACAGCTAAATTTTGCCAGAGCCATTCACATTCAAAATAAGATAGATGTTCTTTGTATTGTGCCTTTATACATTGTTCTTGTTATTAGATAAGGTCACACCCCCCTTATTAGAGAATGATCTAGTAGATCATATATCTAATAAACATAATTTAAGATTTTCTACCTACTTCCTTCCCTTTTCCTTATGAGGTTACTGCTGCTGTTAGATTCCTTTAGAATTATTTCCAACTCCTAACAACCATGTGTATGACAGATAGAACCGTAAAGATCCTTCACTATCCTCACAATCTCCACAATGCTTAAGCCCAGTGGTATGGTCATTGTATCAGTCTCTTTCATGGAAGATCTTCTTCTTCTTTGCTGAGCTATTTTTCCGAGCATCCTGCCTTTCCCTAAGGACTGTCCCCTCCTAATAACATGCCCAAAGCACTTGAGACAAAGTCCCATTGTCCTTGCCCTTCTTCCAAGACAGTTTATTTGTTCTTTGAGAAGTCCATTGTATAATCAATACTCAATACTGCCCCAATTTACAGATATCATTTCTTTGGTCTTATTCATTACCCACTTTTTACATACATAAGAAGCAAATGAAAATGCCGTGACATCAGTCAGGTGTCTTCTGTGCCTTCATTAAATTAGGTGATTTTCTCAAAAGTTATACTTCATGCACATTACCACATTATCTGATGTGTCTGTACCCACATCAGACTATGCATTCTGTGAGAGCAAGGACTCCAATCTGTCACTCCGCTCACTGACAAGATATAATAGGAATATTTGTCATTCTTTAAGAGATGAATGAATGATGAAACAGCCATTTACTTTCCATTGTCTACTACCAAAATAACAAATAAATATGTCTTGGAAAGGGTCCAGCCTGAGTGCTCTTTGGAGGCAAGTATGATGAGGCTTCACCTCACATTTTGCTAGGATGATGCTTGGAAGGGTGGCAGGTTGGCAAAGGAGAAGAAGACCCTCAACCAGACGGATTGACTTGGTGATTGCTGCAGTAGGCTCTCGTGTGTCAGGAGGTGTGAAGGTGGCACAGGATAGGACGGGGTTCAAATCCGCTGTTCATAGGGCCACTATGAGTTGTACTTGACTCAGTGGCACCTACCAGTACCTATCAACTTTAAATATCTTTTGATTGCCTTCAGACTTTCAGAGTTCATGTGAAGAGTTTTGCCAACACTTACCAGCACTTTCTCTTAAGATTTACAGTGTGGGGAGCCTGATGGTGTGGTTGCCAGGAGCTGGAACCAATTGGAGGAGAGTTCGGTTTTTTGGTATATACAAAAGTACATTGTTTAATCCATAATTGGTACTTTTTGAAATATACTTGCCATTTACTTATTATTACTAATCAACAATTTCTCCTTTTTTTTTTTTTTATTTCAGCAATGGCATCCTCATTGTTGGACACTAAGCCACTTTTTACCCCAGGAATTAAGAGACGTGTGAAAGATAAAAGAATTTCAAAGACTGCTAAATTTAATGTTTCCCTCGCTTCAAAAATCAGAACCAAAATAATCAGTGAGTGTTATTAGTTTTGAA